GTGATCTATTTATTTTCTTTAGCGGCTTTTAATATACCGTTCCTGTGAATTTCTGGGATCTTGATTATTATATGTCTGGGTGTGGTTTTCATTGGGTTGATGTTATTTGGAGTTCTATATGCTTCAGTTATCTGAAAGTGAGATTGTTGCCCCATATTTGGGAAGTTTTCTGCTATTGCTTCTGCCCATATTTTTATATCATTTGTATTGACTCCTTCCTTCTCATTGATTAGTCTCACACTGTTCATCTTTGCATCATCTTACAGGTATTGAATTATTTTTTTCCTGCATCCTAGTTGTTTTTAAGAGATCTTTTCTTACTTTTTCATTGGCTGCAATGGTATTTTTAAGGTCAGAAAGTCTATTTTCACTTTCACTCGAACGGTTTTGCCAGCTTGTGATTGAGCCTTTAATTTCCTGCATATCACTTTGAATCTGTTTCATACATTCGATTTCTTTCCTATATTGCTTATTCAGAGGTTTCATCATTTTTATATTCTGTTCTATTTTTTTATCAGTGTATTCTTAAGAGGCACTTAGTATTTCTTTGATTATAGTTATCACTAAATTTTTTAGTCCAGAATTATTTCTGATCTGATTTCTTCTATACCTTTGTGCAGTTGTTTCTTTACTTCCAACGCTATGATTTCAGAGATATCAGGTGTGTGATTTCCAGTTTTCTCTGTTAGTGTCTTCTGCATTTGTACTGGGTGGACTTGGGGCCTGAGACTGCATTTTGTTCCTTCTCTTCGTCATTTTGTATACCACTATCTTCTGACCTTGGGTGTAGAGCTTAGATAGAGTTATTACCTTAGCACCAGGTCCAGATCTACGAAGTTCATACTCCTCTAGATGGGTATTGCTTGGATCTGGCTGGGGTCTGACTGCTGTGCTCCACTTCTTCCTGCTGCAGCCATTGGAGGTGAACCCTCTGTGTCACTCTGGCAAGATGTTCTGCTCCTGAATCAGCTGGGTGGGTCTTGCCTCTAGCCCCTTTGCAGGAAGTTCTGTTGAAGGGTTCCACACTGGGTCTGCACTCTGGGTCGAATGAAGATCCAGTGGGCCTCAGGCAGTCTCACTCACATGCTGGGCCTGTGCTCTGGGTCTGTTCGGGATCTGGCAGCCCTGGGTCTTCTCACTCTCACACTGGGCCTGCGCTCCAGGTCTATTCCTTCATATGATTTTCAACAGCCCAAAATCCTTACAAAAGGTAACAAGGCCCTACATTATCTCTATTATCTTTCTGCCTCCATATCCTACAATCACATTTCATTGGCCACCTGCATTTTCCTTGAACATGTCAGTCTTGCTCCAGTTTCTGGGCATTTGCATTTGCAGTTTTATGAATGCTTTTCTTCTAAACATCCATTTTATGACTTGCTCCTTTACCCATTTTAGACTTTTTACTTGAATGCCATCTCTTCTGGGGCATTCTGTACCCAATCAAATGCTACACCCTTTCATGCAAATATATTCCTTAGCTCGAGCTTTGTCTTTTTAGCCCTAATCACCATGTAACATTCAATATATGTTACTTCTCTTTTTATTGCCTATACCACCTCTCTACATATAAACTCTATTAGGGTAGGTTTGCTCACAAATACTTCATTCACTTGGGATATGAGTGTTACATATACACCATACACACTGTTCATTGATCTTAATCTTTTAAAAAAAAGAGGACATAAAAAGTAACTACAGAATCACTGGTATTTAAGAGGGAGACAACAACTAGGCAATTCTTCACTGTCTAAGAGGAAACATTTTATCTCAAAACTGGTGATTCCACTCTCTATGATATATTAGAAAATTTTTTTTTCAGTACTAAATACTAAAATCAAAACCTTCATGTGGAGTTATATCTCCAACCCTCTTTTTATTTTAGGATAGGTTCTCACTAAGTCTTTGAGTTGTCCAGGGTGGGTTCAAATTTGTGAGCGCTAGGATTATAGGTAAGCACCACTACATCTGGCTTATTCATCAAGTTTTAAAGATTCTCAACTCTAAGGTCCTCTTCAGAAATCTTAAAAATGTGTTGTTGGTTGTTTCAATGATAGAGAACTGTTAGTGATATGTAATACTTGTGGGACAGAGTTGTAATATGTGGGAATGATAAAAGAACTGCCCCAAAGGCCAAGCATTCTACAGTCAAGATAGCCTTCAGCAAAGAACACAAATATAATAATATGGACCTTCTATTTAAGATTCTATAGTAAAGATGACTATAAATGATTCATAAAAAATGAGTACTTGTTAAGGTTTAGAGACACTAAAAAATTTCAAAAAAATGTTTCATTTCTATAGTCACTAATTCACATAGACCACAGAAATATATTTATTAGAAATTTTAAAAAGTACTCACGAATGGAAGGTGTCATTGCTTTGCTGTTCGCAGAAGATGCCTACACAGTCTTTCTGTTCTTTTGGTGTATAGCCTTTATCATAGAGTTGTGTCAGTCCAATTGTAAAAGAAAACAAAACAAGAAGAAACATTCCAAGAAATTTTCCAAAGTCTTGTAGCATCTGTCCCATTGAAATCTGTGGAATGTATGGCACAGGAGCTCAGTAAGTTTCAAAAAAAAACTAGGTAGTAATTGAGTTCCTCATACTGTACTTCTCTGATGAAAATATATCTCAACATAATTGTAGCCAGCTGTGTGTCTCACGGGAAATACAGGAAGCAATCTTTCTGTTCACCCATTTGATACAATTAATGGCAACATACATGCATGTGTCAAAAGTGTAAATGGGTGAGTTTTATCCACATTATGTGTCATGTTACATTTTGTGTATTTATAATTTTCTAATTAAATGTTTTATTTTGATTTCTAGTAGAATTATCCCAATTCAGTACAATGTTAGATAACAATATACTTTTACAAGAAGTAAGGTATCAGTTAACTTGGCTACTGAAGAGAACTTGGACCATATCAGACAAAAAAATTAGTGATGTGTGACAGACAGAAATGTACAGAATGAAGAGACCTTGATTCAGATGAGGAAGAAAACAGTAATGTACATAAATGTTTGACTACTCAAAACTGCTACAAAACAGCCATGTATATGTGAATGATCCAATGTTAGAACTAGGTCAGAAGCTGTTACGAGGGCCTTGCCAAGGGTAAAACCTACTGGATGGAATGCCAACTGTGTGGTTCAATGTTGGAAACTGTTTGTAACATATAATATGCTATGACATGTTTTAAAATACAATGAAATACAAGAAAACATTCTCTATGCATCAATACTAATTCTCAAATATATGCTTATCATAACATTTCACTATCTGCACTAAAAGCCTCAGAACAGGACTTTGTAATTCCAATGGTCAGAATCTAAAGGATTTATGAGAAGTTACAGATGTGGCATTGAGATTTTTTGGAACAATGATGTGCAAGAGATTTGGTTTCTTTCAAAACTCCCTATGTTTTGATGACAAAAAGACTTGCCGCAACAAAAAAAGAAAAGAAATCCAATAATTTGGCTGCTACTCAATCATTTGTTGAGAGCTATAGCAATTTTATACACCATCTAAATACATGACAACTGATGAACAACTTCCATTTTGTAGTTCTTGAAGCTTTCAGCAATATATGCCAAGTAAACCTTCCAAATATGGTATAAAAATAAAACCTTTACAAAGACACAAAGACATTTTATACCCTGAATTAAGCAATGTGTACTGGAACTCATCCACCAGGCTTTATTTGTGCAGTAAAAAACCATATGACTTCATGAACAGACCTGTTGCAGCTTTCAAATAGTAACCCAAATGTCACATTTGACTACTGGTTCACTAGTAACACCCTAACGTTAGTCACATTTGCTAAAAGAACACCTGTTGAGCAGCACAGCAACCAATCATAAGAACAAAGCTGACATTCCAAAAAAAATCCTGCAAATTCACAATAAAGAAATGTTTAGTACAATCTTAATAAATTCCTAAAGGACAGCATTTCTTCTCTAGAATTGCCCTAGACTCTTGCTAAAGTGATCAACTTTCTTTCACTCTGGATCCATTGTAAAAGTATTATGTGTGAGCATTTTTTGTAATTTAGATCTGAATAGGATATCTGAAAGGTTTATTCAAGCTTAAATTTCATTCTTCTTCATACTCCTTTTGCATCTTGGGATTAGGTACTTTTAATAAATCTTGTGGTTTAAATTGAAATACAAATTTAGAGAATAATTTGACAGTAGTTTTTGACCTACTACTTCAATTCGTAGGAGTGTACCAACAGGTAGAAAGTATTAAAAGATGCATATATACATGATGAATTTCAATGTGGCATTGTTGGAGGTAGAAAGAAAAGACAACCTGAAACAAAGAATATTCCAAATGTAATTTTTAAAAAGAACAAAGTACATCTGTGTGTGATGGCACAGAAAGATCTCTATAAAACATTAAGTAAAAAAAATGGTGTGGGACATTTTGTGTGTACGTATACGTACATAATGGCCCCCATCTCTATTTTTTAATAACTATTTAAATTTATTACATGCATTTATTCCTTTTAAGATACAAAACTCAGTGTTTCAAAATATCCTCCCAAAATTTTAACCAGATTTATACAATTAATCAAATCCAGCTTCAAATTAAAGTCCTAATTGAATCAATCCTTCAAACACAGCACATGGCCACTTCGAATGATAGAAAACGTAGCCACAGTGGACAAACTCTTCTAGCCTACTAAACTAGGCCAGCTAATTAAGCAGAAAGGTGTGCTAACAGCTTTAGGCATACCCAAATAGTGACCTGGGCTCTGCAAGTGACTAGACTTACTGTACTTACTTTTCAAAGCTTTATGCTTCTCTCACTTGGCCTCTTTGCAAAATTCTGACAAAAGAACTAGGGAGTATTTAGAATCAGAAAGCTTGAAATAAGTGAGAAAGAGAAGAAACAAATTCTCTCTTTTTTTGCATTAATTAATGCCAGCTTTATTAGGTCACCATGGGGAAAAATCATTCAATCTGATTGGGAGTGTTCATAATAAAGCCATACTGTATCAGGAAAACTTAGTAACTTATGGCATAAGAATTCAGCAACTGCTTTTGGTAAGTATAGAAAAAAAAATACCTTTGAAGAAAGCTTAAACACTGTAAGCTTATAGGTAAATAAGATTTTTCAAGAATAACTATATATATTAATTTTTAAAACTTGGTTAAAAAAAGTGGAAGCTTTAAAATAACAATACTTTCAATTTTAATATCAAGGTGAGCAGTATTAAATGAGGACACCATAGACTTCATGGCTTATCTTTGAAAGCATATTAGTTCCTATATAACATGGAAAAAAACTAGAACAGTGAATATTACAACGGAGAATACTGGCTTGGAGACAACTAAATATCCGTGTAAAAGGCAAATATTAAAAATAGTAAACTTATTTTATACTGAGAAATATTACAAGGTTTAAATATTTGAAAATGTCATAATCATATGGTCTAATATATTGCTTAAAACAACTTACTAGTTTTACTTGAGAAACATGAAAATTTCAGAATAGAGAGAGATAATTAAAATATCAATGTTGAAATTCACAGAATTAATATTCGTATACACAGAAAAAACATGTCCTGGTAATGGAAAAATGGAAATAAAGCTGGAGTCAGTGATACATGCTGACAGTCTGAGCTCAGGAGGCTGCGGTGTGAGAATCTGAGCCCAGGAGCGAGTGAGACCAGCTTAGGTAGCATGAACCCCTATCTCACACAAACAAAAAAGAAATAAAGAAAAAAAGGAGGGAAGGAAGGAAGAACAGAGGAAGGGATGGAGAGAAGGAAGACTTGGCTAGCGTAGCTTTAAAAATTATAGCACCAATGCCGAAAACTCAAACTTGACCCGTGTCTATCACCATGTACTAAACTAAAGTCAAAATGGATTAAAGATCTAAACATTAAAGCAGAGACACTAAATCTCCTG